AGTATGCAACCTTCATGGCTCTGACCCTTGTGTTATTTTAAGAGAAATAGAGACTTTGTGAGGTGATGTAGGAAACCCAAGAAACAGTTGTCTTGGTCTCCTAGGCTATTGTCACTATTTTCCGTATTTATCCTGCATTCCAGGCTGAAGCGATAGCACAGTGGGTAGGGCATTTGCCTTGCACACGGCCAACCTGGGTTCAATTCCTCCCTCCCTCTCGGAGAGCCCGGCAAGATACCAAGAGTATCCCACCCACATGGCAGAGCCTGGCATATTCAATATCCAAAAAAAACAGTAACAACAAGTCTCACAGTGGAGATGTTACTGGTGCCCGCTCGAGCAAATGGATGAACAATGGGAGGACAGTGCTACAGTGCTATCCTGCGTTCCAGATTCCAGGAAGTGGCATCAGGTTAAATAGTACTGTCTCCTTCCCTGTCCTAGTCCCATATGATCTCTCCTCTCAGATTCCCTGGCTTGCCTCAAGGAGAACTCCAGAATATTCCTCTGCTATGGTTAGGTTGGCAAGTTCAGTTCTCCTCCTGACATGGCCCCCTCTATTACAACCCAGTACATATGTTCCAAGCTTCTTTCCAGCTCTTAAAATTGAACGATGTCTAGAATTCTTTAGGTGTATCTTGCCTTGTTTCACCTGCTGGATAGTTTTCTAACATATCTTTTCCCACTTCTGTTATACCCAGGTGCTTTGTTGGGTACCTGTGTGTGTCCTCAGAAAACCCACAGTCTTGAGCATGCACCTGCTGCAGGAAGTTACCCACAATCACACTGAACTTCATGAGACTAATGGGAGGAGACAGTGGTTTGGCCCAGGGTCCTGCTTTCCCCTGTTTCTGCACACATCTCAGAGTGTGGGTGCACTCCTTTTTTGATCAAAGTTGACCAGCCGAGCTATTCATGGACTTTCAAGCTTCCTTAATTATTCTAGAGTAACTTTATTGATTTTTTAATTTTTTTTTGTTTTTTTTTTTTGGTGTTACACCCAGGGATTTCCTCCGCCCCTCTCGGAGAGCCCGGCAAGCTACCAAGAGTATCTCGCTCGCACGACAGAGCCTGGCAAGCTCCCCGTGACGTATTCGATATGCCAGACACAGTAACAACAAAGTCTCACGATGGAGACGTTACTGGGCCCGCTCGAGCAAATCGATGATCAACGGGAGGGCCTTTACTTACTTACTTACTTACACCCAGGGATGCACAGGGGTTACGCCTGGTTCACGCACACAGGAATTACTCCTAGCAGTGCTTGGGGGACCATATGGGATGCTGGGAATCGAACCCAGGTCAACCGCGTGCAAAGTAAATGCCCTACCCGCTGTGCTATCATTCCAGCCCCAATTTTTAAAAATATGCTTGATGGGAATTTGCTTTTCGTTTCATGGAATTTTTTTGATTCATTTCAGAAAAAATATCCAGGTTTTTATGGTATTAAAATTCTGCATTCATGGGGCAGGATGTTTACTAGGAACACTCATTCTGCCTGTGTGAGATTTGAGTTCAATCCCTGTCACCGCTCAAAGAAATAAATGAATAAATTCACTATTCATGAATTATATCATTACCACAACTATGAACACAATATGTTTGTCTTCTTAGGTTTTTTCATGGAGTTTTCAACTTTTCTTCATATAATTTTGTGGGCTCGGGGTGAAGCAAATTCCTGCATGTGTCATGACTTAATGAGCATTGTGAAATAGTTTATTTTCTGCTGAACTTGCCAGTTGGTAAATATTGTTGCAGGGGATTAGGTTGGTTCCAAATCTGCTGAGCATCATTGCCCCATCTAATGATTTGTGATTTGGTTCCCTTAGGTTTTCTATGAAATCAGCACATTCTTACTATTTGTAAATAATAGCCAGTTTATTTCTTCTATACAAATTTGGAACAGAATGCTCTACTCTAAAGAGTACCAGTCCTAAAGCAGCTTAAATAATAAATACGTTCTTTTTCTTTTTCTCTTTCCCCTAGTATTTCCCAATAGGCCCTGATTATCCCTCTGACTCTGTGCTCCTTCTAGGTGTTTCTTTTGCTGGTTTAGGGCCTTGATTTCATCCTCAAGGGCTAAGGATGGGAGGATCCCTGAGTGTAGGGTCAACTGGAAGGAAGAGACTTGTTGACCACTGCCTAGGTCTTAGTTTCTGCTGACAGCAAACTTGCATCCCTTTACTTTTGTTCCCTTTTGTCATGTTCATTTTCCTTTATTTTTTATGATTTATAATAAATATGGGCTAGAGTGATAGCACAGCGGTAGGGCGTTTGCCTTGCACGCAGCCAACATGGCCGACCCGAGTTCGATTCCTCCGCCCCTCTCGGAGAGCCCGGCAAACTACCGAGAGTATCTCGCCTGCACGGCAGAGCCTGGCAAGCTCCCCCTGACGTATTTGATATGCCAGACACAGTAACAACAAAGTCTCCAATGGAGACGTTACTGGGCCCGCTCGAGCAAATCGATGAACAACGGGAGGGCCTTTACCTTTACCTTTATAATAAATATATCACTGAATCACTGAATCAATGGTTTATTCTTTAAAATCTTCTCTATTTTGACACACTTTTTTTTATGTCTACCCTTATCCTGTCACTTTCTCTTTCTCTTTATTTTCTTGACAAACTGTTGTTCTTTGAGCTCCTAGAGTTGAAAGTTAATCTCACTGCCTTCAATTCCTTGTTCCTTGATCACTATACTTAAAGAAATACAGGTCCTTTTTTCTACTGTATCCACAATACCTCTAAGATTTTGAGCAGTAGCAACTTGTCATTTAGTTTTAATATTCTATTATTTCTTCTTAAGGATTTTTTTTGTTTTTAAATTTTAGATTCATAGAACTTTTATTTATTTCTTTCTATTATTTCTTCTATTATTTACTCTCTTAAGGATTTTTTTTAGTTTTTAAATTTTAGATTCATAGAACTTTTATTTCTTTCTTTCTATTATTTCTTCTATTATTTACTTTCTTAAGGATTTTTTTAGTTCTTAAATTTTAGATTCATAGAACTTTTATTTATTTTTTTGTATATTTATTTTCCAGTTTCACTGCATTGTTGTCAAACATGATTTGGGTGATGTTGACTCATTAAAATTTACTGGAACTTCTTCCACAATCTGTTGGATGTTCTTGGCAGGAAGGTTATGCAGTATTATTGATATCTTCTATCTACCTTCTTATTAATTTTTCTATTTATTTAATTCAACTTTACATATCAATTTTGGAGGTTTCTGTGGTAAATTTACAAAATAAAATAGATTTTTCTATGTTCTTCCATAGGTTGCTTAATATATTTTGATGTCATATTGAACAGCTAATTTAGATTTAATAGTTATGTCGTCTTCTTCTTAATGTATTATTTTATGGAGTTTTTTTTGGTTGAGGGGGTGGGTTTTGAACAACAAAGAGCAGCGTTCAGAGATCACTCCTGGCTCTGTGCTCAGGGATGACTCCTGGCAGTGCTGAGGTTAATATGTGGTGCTGCATGAAGATTGGTATTTATCTGAGATCAGATCCTTGCAAGACAAACACCTTAACCTATACTATCTCTGTGACCCTACTGGATGTTTTCTAATATCTGTCTTGCCCTTATATAATGATTCCACTTTGATTTCAATGCAGCCCAAAATCCAACTGTTTTTCCTTTGTTAATTTTTTGTACAAACATAAAATCCCATCTCTTTATTTTCAGGCTCTATGTAGTTTTAAACATGTGACATATAGGACCAAGATTCCAAAAATTCATTCTCTTACACAGCAAGCAATGTGATCTTTGAACGTAGACAAGATGTTATCACACCCTCACCAGAATCCTTCCAGTAGCTCCTCAATTCCCCTGGAACAGATCAGATCCTATAACCCTTCCTTTCTCATGCAGGGCCTTGCAAGACCCGCCTTCTTCCAGGCAGACTTCTCTCCCTCTGGCTCATGCAGCCCCAGGCACCCTGACCTCCATTCGAACCCTCTTGCCTGAAGAAATTGCCCTGTCTTCCTACTCCTACTGCTACCAATTTTCTGCCTACATCTGTGCATGGCTTTTCACTGCTCACATTCTGGACCTCAGCTCCAATACTTCCCATGGGGGAACTTCGTATAGCACTGCACTGTAGCACTGTCGTCCAGTTGTTCATTGATTTGCTCAAGCGGGCACCAGTAACGTCTCCATTGTGAGACTTGTTGTTAATGTTTTTGGCATATCGAATACACCACGGGAACCTTGCCAGTCTTTGCTGTATGGGCCGGATATTCTCGGTAGCTCACAGGGCTCTCTGAGAGGGACAGAGGAATCGAACTCGGGTCAGCCACATGCAAGGCAAATGCCCTACCTGCTGAGATATTGCTCCAGCCCTTCCCAAACATCACAATAAATGACTGCTGAGCTGTCACCCTCCAATTTCTGTTTTCTGCACCAGCCATAGTAGTGTCATGCTTTGCTTGTGAGATTATGCTCTGTGAAATAAACTGACCATCTCTCCTTTACTGCTATATTGCCAGGGCCTAGGATAGTATAGAGTATATTTAATACTGTCTGTCTGTCTATCCTCTCGTTGTTCATCGATTTGCTGGAGTGGGCCCAGTAATGTCTCCATCGTGAGACTTTGTTGTTACTGTGTTTGGCATTTTGAATACGTCACGGGTATTTAATAAGTATCCAAAATATTTATACAAAGAAATTCTTGGGAAAACAATGAGCTAAGGTATCCAGATAATATGTAGAAGTGTCTAGAAGATATATAAATTTTTTCATAATCACTCACTAAAAATTTTCTCTCTTATTCCCCATGCTCACCTTCAAATTTGCTTAGTTCTTTCAAAAGTCATAAAATCCAGATTTGTAAATTCTCAAGCTCCAGGAGAAACTGCTCGATGCAGCTTCTCTTTGTGTTCCTCATTGCCCTCCTCATCTCTGGCATTGTTAGTTGAAAATTATAACCCACAGAAGTTTCTGAATGAATCACCCACCGTCTCTCCCAGGAAGATTCCCAAGAGTTAAATTCAAAGAGTTAAATATTTATTAGGCTTATTTAAATCAGGAATAAATACATGATTTAACAAAGAATAATGCTTCCCCCTTGTAGAAGTCCCTCCGGGGACTCCCCAAGTGTTCTGACCCCATCTGTCACAATGAAAACTAATTCACAGGACACTGTACAAATATCTGGAACTTGTGATGTCATCTGCCTGACGGTGGAAGTAAAGATCCACACAGTTACATTTGTTTCTCATGTCTTAGCCAGTTTCTTTGGGATTGTTGAGGAAACCACAAAAGTCTCCTTGTATAAATATGCTGGAATCTCATGGAACAGGCAGCATGAAAATGCATATCCACAGGCCACTAGTACAATGATCTCAGATCCACGGAATGCATATATAGAACAGACTTCTCCTATCAGGCAGCTAGTGAGACCATGCCCTGCCCACCTCCCCCCCAAATCCCTGTGCAACTGGGAAGAATGAGTCATGGATTCATCTGTAGCAACTTTCCAACAGGATCAAAAGGAGCAGAGCATCCTGGAGATAAATACTTCTTTACATCTTTACGGTGATTTCTCTCTCATCTCTTAAAATAACATGACAGAATTTAGCTACTCTGGCTTCCTTCTTTCCCAGAGCTCAGCATTTTTATTCATGTGAACATCAGACTCTTTTTAACATAACTGGATGAATTAGTCTTTCAAACTTATCAATTTTCTTTTTTTTCTAATGAACCTAACTGTGCTTGCCTATTCAAATCTTCCATCCCTCTTCTTTTCTGGATGTCCTGCTGAAACAAGAACTCCTTATTTTACCCCAACTCAGCTGAATTTTCAGCATATCAATTTTCTCCTTATTTTATATTGCTGGGATCTGGGGCTTATTCGCTTTTTTTTTTTTCACCGTCAAATCTACACATACTTAACACAGTGTCTATTGGGGACAATTGTGAATGAGTGATTGATACATCAATGTAAGCAGAAGTCTTCATATCTCAAGAAACAGCTTGATTCTGTGCTGATGTAAAGCCGTAGTTGGGGGCCTCATGAAAGTTTGCAGTCTCAAGACCACCCTAACATTTCTCCATCAGCAGCTCCCTGACCTTTATGTGCCTTGCTCGCTGCGGAAAAAAGATACTCCAGCTTCTGCTATGTGGCCTGGGTGTGAATAGGTCAAAGGGATCTGCTGAATCATAAGAGGTTTCTGTTTAGTGTCACCAATCTCCCTTGAAAGGGAGAGAGCCTACCAAAGATTCTCCGTATGCATTGGTTTTAAAAAGTTCAATGCAGGGGACTAATTTTCAAATCCAGACACCCACCAAGCCTCAGTTCCAGGCTCATCTTCCTGGAATTTTCTCGTTCAGAAGTGCTCTCTGATGCACCCAAGATGTAACTCTCTGGACAGTTTGTTGGAGAATGTACCTTGTGTTGTGCCCTTTCTTGTGAGAGCAGATCAGGGTCTTTCTTAACAAACAGAACAAGACTGACATACACTGAGACATTCTGAAATGTTGCTCAATTCCATCACGCCTCAACATGGTGTGACACGATGGTCCTGCTCAGACCCCAGGCAGGGATTCCCTGGGTCATGATGTGGATAGAGAAGATGTGAGTTCAAGCCTCCATGTGACTTCTCTTGGCTGCTAAGAGACAGGAGGCTCTCCAGGACTGGGGAAGCATGGCTCTCTGGGCGAACCAGGGAACAGTAGTCTCAACCTCTGCTCCTCTTTGTGGGCACACGCCACCTCTCCATACTTGGCTAGTCCTCAAAGTACGGTGGGGAGAAGAAGGCGCTTTTCCTCTTGCTTCCACTATACATTAAGGAGACGCTTTTCTTCTTGCGGTCAAAGGAAGCACCGTCCTCACTGGTCAGGGATAGGTAGGAGGCAATGCTTTCCCGAAGGCCATAGCTGAAAAGAGACTCGTCCACTCCAAGGGGGTTGCCTGCTCCCTCGGGATCCGAGTCCTCTTGAAGTCTGTGAGTGGCACAAATGGAGGCAGAGGATAGAGGAAAATAGAGGGACATAAAGAGATGGAGAGTGAGAAAACATGGTGGTGGTGGGAGGCCTCGGTGAATATTTCTTTTCTTCTTCCTCTGATTTTTATGTTTGTGGATATGAAATGATCTTAGAAAATTTATTTAACCATTTTATATGTTGTTGAAATGTCCAACCATCAATTAAATTATAACGAGCATTTCTTTGTTGGGGCATGCAGTGCTCAGGGGGACTGGGGTTCTCTCCTGGCGATTCTCAGCAAACTAGGGCTGAGTAGTTCAATGCTAGGGTCTGAGAACACAATATTGGTTGGCCTAGTGGTGCTAGGGATTACTCAGCCTATCCTGGCAGGGCTAAGGGACCTCCAGGGCTTCACCCTGCAATGTTTTGAGTACCATGAATAATAGGGATATAACGGGGGTCATGTGACTAAATCAATAAGTCAGTAAATAAATCAGTAAATAAATCAGTCATTGATTTATTTACTAAGTCAGTAAATAAATTCATTGATTTATTTACTAAGTCAGTAAATAAATTCATTGATTTATTTACTAAGTCAGTAAATAAATCAATGAAACATTCCCCCCCCCATTAGAAACAAGGCTAACTTAAGATTTTTGCTGGCCTCATACCTTCTAAGAGAGTTTGATCAAGTTTTAAATAGTAAATTGACCAAAGATTCATTTGTTTGACTCCCTCTGAGATCCTAACAATTAGAAGTCAAGGTGATATCTTTCAGTCAGAAAATAGAGTGCTAACATTCAATAGGGACTCAGTGAACATCTGAGAGGCTCAGGTTCTTGGTGGGGAGCTGTTGGGCCCACACCATGCAGGTGACCTAAGACTCATTTTGGTCCCTACTGCCCCACCTCTGAGGGTCAGGGACAATGGAATGTAGTTATGTACCTGCCTGGGTGTTTGTCATCAGGTTTCAACAGGGACTGTGATCACTGACCAGTTTATGGTCAGTCACACTAGTTTGGAGTTTAGATATTCACAGAGGAGACACACACACACACACACACACACACACACACACACACACACACACATGTCCTACCTGGACACCCTCTTCCAGTCAAAGGTCTTCTGGCGCAAGGTGACTGGGGAGTTAGGAGCCCTCAGGGAAGGTGTGGCAGTGCTCTGAGTGAGGCACGGGGTGGTCAGGACACAGCAAAGACCATCAGCAACTTCTGAAGAGGGAAGCAGAGAGTCCATCAGTGATGTTGCAGCCAAGGTGAGGGAGTAGGGATCAAAGGGCCTTTCATCACAACACCCTTGTTCACATGGGGAAACCAAGACCAAGTTGAAAAGGGTGTGGCCAGGCTGGGAGTCCTGTGCCCAGTCACCGATTGAAATGTTCACTTGCTCTGTGCACACCTGACACCTGCAGAAAATAGAGATCAGGGTCTAGGATCAACTAATACTGGTAGTTCTGGCCTGGCCCTTCTCTGAGCCTTATTTTTCTTCATGCAGAATAAGCGAAAATGTCTGGAGGATCTCATGTGCTATGGGAGCCCCAGTCTCAGTAGTTTTATGTAAAGACAGAGTTCCATCCACTTCTCTGGGTGAGGCAAAATGTGCTGTGACTATGGATGGCATTTAGTACAGTGCCAGGGTTACACTTGAGGGAAGAAAGGAAGCTGAGAGCAATAATTAACAACAAACAGGAAGGAAGAGGGAGAGGGTTACAGAGACAGATAGAGAGACAGAAGCAGGGAGGGTAAGGGAACGGGCTGAAGGAAAGGCAGCACCAAAGTGATAACAAGACAGAAGTGTCAGAAACCAGAGAGATAGGCAAAGGAGAGGAGGTGGATGAATAAGAAGTTGAAGAAAACCCCCTCTTCTCTACTCTGCACACCCCCCAAAATACAGATGGGCAAGTAAATAAGTTGTTTCCCCCTCTAGCTAGAATGGAATCTCTGAGCTTCCAGGCATTCCTACTTTTCAGAAACACAGAGTCCCCATTTCTTCCTGCCTTCCTTGACTCCTCAGTCCTAGTGAGAATGGAATCTAGCTGTGTTTTGACTTTCGTGGAGTGGAAAAAATTCTGTGCAGTTTTATGCAGGTAAAAACTCACAGTGTTTTTCGGCTTGAAGGGACAGAAGATGAAACTGAGGATGGGAGCTGTCTGGGCCTGTTCCTGCACACCCAAGACCAGCACAGCCAGCACCAGGTCTTACACCTCTGGGGACCTCTCTTTCTGTATCAGTGAGGGGACTCACTTAGGGAGTTCTTGCCAAAGAACACAAGAATGCTGTTAATGACGAAGCCACCCCAGGTCTTCAGATGACGGTTGCCAGTAATGCTTCATTTCCAGGCTTTCTGTCTAACTTTCTCAGTGAACTCAAATGTCCACCCACACAGGTTCTGCACTGAGAAGTGAGTGGGAAGACCATTACATTCGGTGGAGGGAAATATAAGTGGATGTGAATAGGAAATAATTACCTGTCATGGATTTGAAATTGAAAAGACCCCCTGGATTGTGAGTTGAGGGAGCCAAAACTGATGCCAAAACTAAAGAAATCAGCCATAGCAGAGGAGGGATATTTTTGAAAGTCCTTCCTTTGAAAGGTGAATACTGACACTGAGAATACATTTTTTGGAAGAGAAGAAAAAGAAATAACATTTATAAGCAGGGAACTTGAACTTAATGCTGAGCTGGACCTTATTCTTGAGAAGGTTGATGTCAGTTGTGAAGAGTGCCTGGGGGTGTACCCATTTTTAAATTGTGGAAACTAAGGATCCTGGGGTCCAGTCACCAGCTCAAGGTTTCAGAGATATGACTCATCTTCCTCCCAGTGATTCAGAACAAGACACTTGTTCCCAAAACCACTCATTATCTCTGAAATAGAAAAGGCAGACTTCCCACATTGTCTTTAGGGTATAGACACACTCGTCCTATTTCACACTAGTCTACAGAACTTTCTAGAGCAGTAGTTTTGTATCTTTATTTTATCAGAACTCTAGGTTCATGGGTCCCACTTCCCATTCCATTGTTTTCCTGGCCATCTTAGAATGCATTTGCAACTAATTCTTCATGTCCTCACAATCAACACTGAGTTATTTAGGGGCCAACTAGTTATGGCTTTAGTTTAGTCCTGACAATAATCTTACAAGAGGCATCTTAATCTTCATTATTATTTGACTTAGTTGACCTTCAAATGCAACAGTTAATTTCATTACTTCTTTTTATATTTGTTATAGCTTACATAAGATGTAAAAAACTTATGGAATTAATGTGTGTATTTACTACACCTTTTCTACTACCAAGGTGCTAAAGGCCTTCTCCACTGTCCTTGTGTAACTCCAGGTCTACTTCCTACTCCTCTTCACACCCTTGTTTTGTTTTTCCATATACCACAGATATATCATCAGTTATTTCTTCTTTTTCTTTTTCTTTTTGGGGTCACACCTGGCTATGCATAGGGGTTACTCCTGGCTCCTCACTCAGAAATTACCCCTGGTGGTGCTCAGGGGACCATATGGGATGCTGGGAATCGAACCAGGGTCAGCCGCGTGTAAGGCAAACACCCTACCCGCTATACTATTGCTCCAGCCCCGGATGTTTGTTCTTTTCTCTGATTTATTTCACTTAATATGACACTTCTAGTTCCATTTAAGTTGTAACAAAATGAAATACTTTTCTTATAGATTTATAATATCCCATTGTGTATATGTGCCATAATATCTTTATTCATTTTATCCGCTATTGGACATTTTGGATGTTTTAATATCCTGGCTGAGCTGCAATGAACAGAGGTGTGAAGATATCTTTTTGAATTAATATTTTGTGTTTGGAGGAGATGCTAAGAAGTTGATTACTGGGCCATACATAAGCACTATTTTTACTCTTTTGAGAAGTCTCCTATGACAAAGGAGCTGGCTACAGAAATTGAGGCTAGGAATGCATCATCATTAAATGGTGCTGGGAAAACTGTGTAACCACAAAAAAGGGGAGAGAAAAGAAATGCAAAAAAAAGAAAAGAAAAAAGAAACTGGGTCAGTATCTCACACGCTACACAAAAGTTTGACTCAAAGTTAATTGATCTCATTTTAGAGATGAAGAAATTGAGACTTCAAAATGTGCATCAGGTTAATAAACCAAAAAAGTCTGTACTGACCCCTTACCTCACGATTTCTTTGATTCTTTCCTTCTAGGAAAAAAAAATGAATGGTAGGAAGCAAAGTTTGCCGAATGTTTCCACAATTGCATCCCAGGGGGACAGAACAGTTGAAGATAACCCATCCAGGGTTATCTTCAACTATCCATAGAAGTTTAAAAGATGACAGTGATGTATATTGATTTCAGTGCCCAAAGATAAATTTAGGGTTTCTCCACTGGGGCAGGGTCCTTAGGTATTCTGGACCTAAAACCCTCATGGACCTCTAGTTCATAAAATATTTTCTGGGACAGAACTGTCTTCATATTGCTTTTCCCTATGAAAACTATGGTCTCCACATCTCTCATGTAGTTGTTATTAAAAGTCAAATGCGACAACCAAACTTGACTCACAATCAGTAAAAGTTGACTATTTCCATGACTTCTTCCTCTTTCATTTTTAGCTAAGCTGCTAAATTTTCAGGTATCACAGAAATCATCTTTGTTGGGGCTGGAGTGATAGTACCACAGGTAGGACATTTACCTTGCACATGTTCAACCTGGTTTCAATCCCCAGAATCCACTATAGTCTCTTAAGCACTGCCAGGAGTAATTTCTGAGTGCAGAGTCAGGAGTAACCCCTGAACATCAATAGGTGTTGACCAAACACTACCTCATCATCTTTGCTATTATTTTACATCTGCCATATGCCAGGCTGTGACGAGCAGGTTCCATAAATGATCATGCTCAATCATCTTTACCACCATCTTTGGTAGGGCTATTCTTCATCCTCCAGGAGTTGGGGAGTAAGGCTCTTCTACTTAAAGGTCTATCATTGAGGTTCATGAACCCTGGTCTCTACTGTGACCTATGTCTCCTAGGTAGCCTTTTCTCCTTTGTGTCCTATACTTCTCACAGACCATGTAGGATGCCCCAGGCTCTGTGAATACCTCCAGTCTCTTTGAAATGTTATTAAGATCCCATGATTTTAGCAATCATACCTAGGAAAGGGGAAGGATTGGGACTTAATGGTTGATCATGTGCCTTAATGGGTAAGACTCTGGATTAGATCTCAAGCACTGACTAAAAAATAACAATAGCAACAACAATAATGATGATGATAATAATGATAAATACCCAGGAATGTGAGGTGAGTCAGCTGAACCCAGAAGGAAAAGAAGCTAACAAAGTGAAAGTACCTTACTTCTTTCTGTTCCCACACAGAAGGGAAGGATGAGGAAGAAACACACTTGATTTAAAAATAACAGCTAACCCTTAGAGTTAGTGGAAACCCTCATACCTGCAAACTACCATCTAAATATTTCCTATTCACTGACCCAGGGAATCCTCACAACATGCCCTGATGGGGACATATTACAAACAAGAAAATGAAGCCCTGAGATATGAACCATCAACTCAAGGCTGACCAGAAGAACCAGATGGGAAGTCAGAGGTTCCATTGACATTTTTCATCACTTGGTCAACATTTTTATTATCACTGTTGCTTGTCCATACTATTGTGATCTAACTCCTGACTTGGAATTCAGACCTTTCTTATTTTTCTTTTTGGGTCACACCCAGAGATGCTTAGGGGTTACTCCTGGCTGTACACTCAGGAGTTTCTCCTGGAGGTGCTCAGGGGACCATATGGGATGCTGGGAATCGAACCTAGGTCGGCCGTGTGCAAGGCAAACGCCCTACCTGCTGTGCTTTCTCTCCATCCCCAAATTCAGACCTTTCACACCCTAACTCAGATTCCACCTCTGACTCTGTACTCTTCTACTTTCACTTTCCTCCAAACTCACACTGGCCTTACCCATCTTGAAGGGGTCACACAAGTGAAAGAAGTACAACTCCCAATCATTGACATCTTGCTGGGGAACAAGGACTAGTATGTAGTTAATTATGTCACAAGAGTACTATGTCTGAAGTTCTGGTGAGAAAAATTTATGACATGCAAAGAGAACAGAGAAAACAGACAATTAAACCAGTCTCCCAGACTTTATTCAAGGGGTGACTTTCTATTGATGCCAAAGACTGACAAAGATTTTGACCAGCTGAAAAGGGTAAATAAGTGGTGTTTTAGGACAAAACTGTTTGAGGTGTGTGGTGATATGGCCCACTTAGGGAAATGCAAATTATGTCAGGCAGAAATTCTAGGGGCAGCTAGATTGGTTTTTGTATTGGCAGAGAGATGGTAAAGTGAAGATTAGTTGCATTTTACTTGATTAGGCAGCATAGACAGATAATTTAGCCTGATGTTTGTGGTTTAAATTAACAAGGAGAATTGTATGACGGCAGGATACACAGAACCACGTGTAAGCATGGATGACTGGACACTGAGGGACCTTCAGGGAAGTAAACAAAGGTAAACTGTTTGTACACATTCAGTGAAGTATTTCTTACCAGAATAATGATTTACGAGGTCTTCCAGACACTGGAAGGTGAGTCTTGGGGAAATATAATACCAGTTGTTGGGCAGGCGGAAGATTCGATAGTGTTTCACCTGTCGGTGTCTCACTGAGAGTGAATAAAAACCTGTAGGAATAAAATCCTGTCAGTAGTGTCCCACATGACCTCAGAGATCCCAGCTGAAGTGTCTGCCACAAATAGATGCACAGAGCTTGCCTAGTCTTGTGAGACAACCCTGATATCCAACATGTACTCTTGACCTTTGAGCATCAGGCCACTGAACCCGTCTGCTTCGACTCACGACTGACTCTCCAAGGACTATAGGAGCATATTAACTTAGCAGTCCAGATATATTCACCATATATCCCAATTGGTTTTCAAGTACCTGTGCTCAGTCTTTGCTTTGTGAAGTTCCATTCAGGGTTTACCCCTTCTGTGGGTCCTTAGACCAAGTTAACTGATTTGAATTGCATATCATCCTGTAGACTCAGGATCTATGATAATTCTAGAGGCCTGTCTGTCCCCAGTGCCATCACAGTACATATTGGTGGGCCTATCCAATTATGTCCCCATTTCCTGATTATATCAGAAACTCACTTGATGTTTGGCTTTCTCAGAAATTTGGAGAATAAAAAGACAAGACAGCTTTCTGTATTTCCCTAAGAAGTATGTCATTTCATCTTAATTAGAATAGTGGTGCAAACTGGGTAAGTAATAGGGTAGATCTTTGGTCAAGTGTCTTTGCCATTCTGAGCCTCAATACCTCACATGGAAAGTGAAGGATCACACTTGAATAATGTTTAAGGGCCCTTCCTGCTCTGTCTTCTGGGTTCCTAGAAGGAAAATGCTCAGGAGATGATGAAAAAAAGTGGGGTCTTTACTGTCTGTGCTGGACAGTGCACCAAGCCATTTCTAAGAAATCCTCCATTGATTCTCAGAAATGCCATTGGAAGTATTGTCCACAAATATTTTAGTGTTGAGGGAACAGAGACTCAGAGTCCCCTGAGTGATATAGTCAGAGGACTACAAAATGGAAAGAACAAGGCTGACTGGGGTATGTTCCTTGTCTTGAAAAGGTCCCTAGGATCATTTTTATCAGTATTTCTCAGTTTGACCTTTGTCTGCCCTCTGAGTCAACCCAACCTGCATCTTCTGGTGACATCAGTGAAAACTGAAAGTAGGGGGAACAGGATAAGAGGAGAGGTAGAAAATTATTGAACTTTGCTGCACCACCATTGCAGCCTCAGCTTAGCCAAAGATCAGCTTGATGACATCTTTATTTTTAGATCAATCCTGACATCTCAGTCTGGGTTCTTAGACTCAACCTCTTGGCCGTACCAGCTTAGAGTTCTCTTGGGACAAGGATAAAGTTTGAGCTTTTCTCTGACTTTTCTCTCTTGTAGCCCATTCAGGTTCTCAACAGAAAAAACTGACCTTGGCTTAATTACTATTGGAGAGTTTCTATTTCCCCAGAATACATCAATGCACCATTAGTGAAATTGGGGCTCACATAATAAGTGCACAGAAAATAGACTCAAAGATCATAGTATCACTTCCTTGATAAGAAGTATGCAAGAAACAAGCCAGGAAGTTGAAAAGTTCTTCTATATTTTAAAAGCTATTATTAGTCTGGGAAAACACTGAATCTTGTGTGTTTTACTCATGTGAGTAAAAGAACCTATGGAGTACCAGATGCTGAGCACGTTCATATTGAGGATCCTATGTAGTAGTATAGGGAGCTGAGGTTTCAAAAGAGACTGTGCAAAATGATCTGGACAGCAGAAACTAGAATCAGAGATATCTACTCTGAACTGCTGGCAAAGGGCCCTGCTGTTTCCTTTTCACAGAGTTACTAAACACACAGCACAGTAAGGAGACTGTAACAATGCAGATGGTGGAGAGTGTGTCAGAGGACACATCTGTCTTTCCTGACTCTCTCTCTCTGCCTAATATCATCAAATTGAGATCATGGGCCTCTTGGTGGAAAAAGTACTGCAAACATCATGACATCAAGTCTCACCACAACTTTCCAAGGCAGAGGTTTTCTTTTCATTTCACACAAGATACCAACAGAGCTCAAAGAAATAAAGAGTGTGCCCCAGTGTCAGAGTTCATGGGCACAGTTCAGGCCATGGCACTGGCTGGAGTGTTGCATACTCCTGGCTTCACACCTACTTCTCAGCTGATGGAAGATTTTCCCAGCAGGAGATAATGCAGCCCGATGTGTGCCAGCGACTGTGACAGCGGCCGACCAGCAACTCAATCTGTTTCTAGTCCCCTGGCCTAGAGTTCTGGCATCTGTGGTGGTGTGTGGATTCACTCGCCATGTTGGACTGATTTGCACGCATTGTGGGAGAAGAGAAAAATGAGCCTTAGGGGGAGTGAGCTGGGAACAAAATCTGCTTGCCTGGCCTAAGCACAGAAAGAGAAACTTCAGGCTGTTCACCTTTCTTCGTCTCACTCTCTCTGATCATGAAGGAGCCGATCTTGGTGTCTGGCAGCTGCAGCAGCTCCTCAGCTTTGTCTCTGCCCAACCCTTCAAACAGCCAGCTGGGAAAGTAGGAAGACAGTCATGAGTGTCTAAATCATAACATCCATTCCCGAAAGATGGTGGGGAAAGCAGAAGTTAAAAGAATTTCAGTTGATATAAAATTAGTGGGACTCAAAGAGGAGGGCAATCAACAATTTGCCCATTAATTAATTAATTAATTAATTAATTAACTCATGCTTTATATGTTTAACTTTTTAATTTAAATTTATTACTTTTTATAAAGTTGTTTATTATAAAGATGATTCATTACATTCAATATTCCAAAATCAATCCCACCACCATTGCACCTTCCCAACACCATTATTTCCAATTTTACCAATCACTCCTCAAGGCTGCCCCTATAGCAGGCCCTATCATTCATACTTTTAAGCTTCCATCAAAATACCTGGGCTACTAACTGCATGCTTCAGATTTCACTGAATCACAAGGGAACACATCCGCATTTTTTCCTAGCCCACTTCTCAAATGCTAGCTGGAATGTTTTCATTCTGTATTCTGTATGTAAGTTTTAAAGTGTGGTTAGATTGGTGTTGGTAGTTTGTCTTGTGTCTAGTCTCACTGACTCTGTACCTCCTCAGCTCTCCCTCACTAACCCAAGCGTGAAGGTGCTGTTTCTATCTCTTTGGGTATTTTCTTTGTGCGCAGGTTATTGAGTTTGGTATTGATTTGTAGAGTAAGAAGGTGTATAATTTTACCAATTTAAAAAGACCTACTTTACGTGCCTCCTATTCTCATTGTGTATTCTATTTTCCGGCATATTTTAAATACTTATATGTTATGGCATGTGTTTTGTTCATCTACCCCTTCAATTATCAATGAAAAAAAATGTAACACTGTAGCTCAGTTTTTCAGTGTAGTTTTTTCCATCCACAGGATAGATGCCACTTTGAAAGTTTCTTTAGAAAGAAACTCTGTACACAAAACCATCCTTCCTAGGAGACAGGGCCCTCATTCCCTGCTCAGAATAGGGCAGGTTAAAAAAACGGGGGGAATAGGACAGGTGCCAGTGTCCAAGGAAATGCTTTGTTACCATAATTTTAATTCACTTTGTCTGATAACCTTATACAATGATAAATATGAATATTTTGCTACTTCACATGTTTTGACATTCACCATGTTACACAGGCAGGTTCTTAAAGGGGCTAGGCAAGCACCATGTGTGAGAAGCCTCATAGATTAAAACATCAGATACCACTTTTTTTCCTTTTGAGTCACATCCAGCAATGCACAGGGGTTACTCCTGGCTCATGCCCTCAGAAATTACCCCTGGCGGTACTCAGGGTACCATATGGGATGCTGGGAATCAAACCTGGGTCAGCTGCATGCAAGGCAAATGCCCTACTCATTGTGCTGTCATTCCAGTCCCAGATGCCATTTGTTTATGTCCTGGTTTCCAGAAAAGCAAAAATGCTTTTCTGGTTAGTATTTTAATTTTGTCCTACTGGTCCAAAATGTCTCAACCATTTCCTTATTTCTGCACAATTTATGGCATATTATTTCAGTATATGTGACAAACATTTTTCTTTTCAAGCCTTATATGAAAGCCAACTTAAAAACGAAGACAAAAATAATAATGTCATATGTGAATACCCATTACAGGTCACATACCATACTGTGAATCTGAATCTTAATCCTCACATCAACACTTTAAGTCAAGTAGTTTTATCTCTTTCCCACTGACAAAGATACTTGCCAGAGTGAGTAAGTAATTTGCTCAAGCCATCCTGTGTCAAAAAGGATAGTGCTGGCTTAGAATTCATTTTCTCTGGGACTTCCATTCCATTGTCACTATGTACACTACCTCTCTTCCCATTTTATAATCAGAGAACTTTTATTCATCTACTCTTTGCTTGAATCTCCTTACAGTTGTGATTTCTTCTTACTCAGCTGATCACCTACCATCCCTTGCAGCTATAGTGTCTAAGAGCATATCTTCAGCACAGATAATGCGTGCATCTTTGGTAGATGAATGAATGGATTGAAGACACACAGCTGACTTAGAAGAGTTATATGACTCATCTCTTTTTCAGAACACAACTCTCACAGTCTTGATGCCCCTGCTTTTGCTCACCATTATCATTGCAGGCACAGAAATAGCTTTTGATGTTTATTATTACAATAAAAAAATATTGCAACTAAACCCACTGGGTTGAACGTATGGAAATATGCAGGCATCACTGGGTTTGGGTGTACAGAATCCTTCTAAGGTGTGTAGAAGCTGTTTATGGATCCCTTAAAATAGAAAATGGTCTTTCCTCTCTCCTTCCTTTCTTCTCTTTCTTCCTTCCTTAATATGAATATCTGAATTGCTTACTGGGCAGATGAGGAAACTGTGACTCACGGAAGTTTGTCATTTTGTCAAAGCTCTTGACAAAATCTTTTCAGGATCTGTTTCTAGATTTGAAGTTTCCAGGATCTGAGCCTTTTATCATTTAAGACAAGTCCCATCCCAAGAGTGCTTGTCTTAAATGATAGAGCTGCAAGGCCTTTCCAGTACAAAACCAGAGGGCAAACCAATGTGCTTACTTTCTCAATGCAGTGCCCAGATGTTTCAACCTTCAATGTTTTACTTGACTTCTTTTTAACTTGAGACTGTAAGCATTTGGAGCAGTAAGTGTTTTCTAGGCTTCTGGATAGTGTGGGATAAGAACATAGCTTTGATGTGGTCAGAACTTACTGTAACACCCAGAATTTTTCCAAGTTTCACCTGTATCTCATATTGTTCTCCTAACAGCCCTATGTATTGGTCATATAGTTATATCTTACTATCCTTGTTATTCTTTTTTTCTGATCTCTTTTAGGCAGATGACGCTTAGAGTTGAGTAGCTTACCCAGTATCATATACTCTGTAAGTGACAGATGCAGGATTTGGAACTAGGCAGATTGGCTTTTAACCATATGCTGCATCCTGTAATGATCGTACCTGAGAGTTCATTGCTCTATACCAAGGACACTATGTAGAGTTGAAAGGTTCAGCTCCCTTCATTTAACTAACAGAGAAGTCAAGTGTCAGGTGGAAAAGAAATTAATCTTAAGTTTTCTCCTTCCTTATGCACTAAGCTCAGGGTAGAAGTGGCCCTCTTGAACCAATGCCTTCTTTTCACAATGCCATGTTGGAGTCCTTGAAGCAAACTTAGGAGGTACTAGCATATACAGCAAGCTTTATGGAGGCTCCTTGAGTAATGTACTCACCCATGGTAAACTCTAGCCACACAGATTCCAGGAATATAACTCTCTCGACCAGTGCTAAGAGAAATGGCTTTCCACCAGCCCCCTTCACTGCAAAAATAAGAGCAGACAGGGTAAATAGATAGGCCAAGTTAAAGGCAAAGCTAATAAATGAAAGAACTGACTGGTCAGATTTGAACTAGGGCAAGTTTGAACACTTCTTAGTTAAGACCTATCATTGGTCCTAGGGACATATCTTTCCATAGGAAAGGTAAGTTTTAAAGTTTATTCCCTTCTACCGATTCCAAAGTATCTGGATGTATCTTCATACATGATGGGAGGTCACAGCTATGTCTTCTATGTTTCGCAATCAAATTTTTAAAACACTTAAATTTTTACTACCTTTACACCCTATAAAATAATCACAATACTTGACAATGTCAGCACCAATGGGTATCTAAATGAAAATAGACCCCACACATTTGCTCTAACATTTATTTGGAATGATAGAGAGATAATAGTATGGGGCAATGCTTTTTAAATTACTGTTATTACCAAAACCCCTTCATTCTGGGGACTGAAGTAATAGTGCAGCAGGTAGGGCATGTGACTTGCATGGCCAACTTGGAGTTGATCATCGGCAACCCACATGGTCCCTTGAGAACCACAAGTAGTGATTCTCCGAGCACTGCTGGATGTGGTCCAAAAACAAACAAACAAACAAACAAACAAAACTATCTTGAGTTCTTTCAAAGTCTGCACTGATAAATCTATTGCCGCTGAATGGTTGATGGGAAATGATACCCATAAGAATGGGAATGTGAATGTAGAGACAGAAAAGATCTCATTAGCTAATCAACTTAACTTGTATCCAGAAGGCAATAGGAACACTGAAAACTTTAAATCCCTGTGACATTAAGAAGGATGATGCAATAAGGTGTGAGGTTTGAATTAAATTTCTCCTCCCATCCTAGAAGCAAGGGCCCATATGGTATTGGACAACTAGAATAAAATCTCATAAACCCCACCCCAATCGGGAGCACCTTTCAGCAGGGCAGAGAGGAAGGTAGTTGTTTGTAAACATTTGGGACTCACTCAGAAATCACACGCAGTTTCTCCCCTCGACGGAATATTGGGGGACTGATGTCAGGAGATGGGTAATCATTCAGTACAGCGAGGAAATCACTGTCCAGTCCTGGGGAGGCAATGTTGAAGGATGCAGTTATTCACAAGGAACTAAAGGCAGCTCTTCAGAACAAGGAGGAATCCCCTTCCCACATCTTTGAGGATGCTCAGCTGGAGACACCTAACTTGTGCAGCAGCCTTTGATCACTGGACTTTTCAGAGACAGTGCTTGAGGGTCAGGTGACCTAATTTTAAAGCAGTCTGAGACTTATAGTCCTCATCGGAGAAAAAGACACCCAGAGACCTTGTCAATATGGTTGATATTCACGTGACCCAGAAAACCCTACAAAATAATGCTCACAAAACTGTCCATGCGATCAAGGACACGTACATGTAAAAACCACCAAGTGTCTTAAGGACAATAAACTTCAGAAGCCACATTGCCCACTTGAGTGTTGCTGAAGGGAACTTGGTAGGTTACAAAGGGAGAGCAGGTAGGTTCTAAAGGGGAAGTTGGTATGTTACAATGGGGAAGTTAGGAGACTCTAGTGGGGGATTGGTAGGTTACAAGGCAGGAATTGATAGATTACCAGGGGGCATTGGTAATTATAATGTTGTTATGTATGCCCAGAACAAACAGTGGTGCTGAGGCCCAGAAAATATCCTGAACATAAAAGCTTATATGTAGATATTCTGTCCGTTAAATAGATCCAGGTGAACCATGCCCCCAGATGCTGGGCAGAATGTACAGGGCTCCTGATTGATTAGTCCCTCCCTGAACTATCCCTGCTATGCTAAGATGATACTGCTTCTACTTTAACGAATTGTTCCTAAACCAGAGAGGAGGTTGCACAGAGAAAAATATTCCAGTGGGACCTGAAGATACAAAGCTTGTGGCTTAGAACTAGATGAACATAAAGACTAACTAGAGCAAATAATGGCAACAAAAACCCATTAGCTGAAGTCACAGATGTGACTTTAGAGGGTGTCTGCAGGTTTATTGGTTCCTGCCATCTAGGACAAATCCCAGCAGGCCCACGAGGGTTGACAGCCCCTTTTTTTTTTCTAACTTGGGAGGGTAAGGTGGACATACCAAGTGGTGCTCAGGGATCATTCCTTACTATAGGTGACTGTGATACAAGTGAGGTGCTGGAGATCAGTCTGTGCTTGGTTGTAACTAGACAAGTGCTCCAGTCCCTTTACTATCTTTCCAGCCCCATATTTATTTCTATTCATTAATTGTATCCTTTCTTGTATCCACCTTATTGCTGTACTGTTGAGATGACAAGTGGTCACTTTCAGGCGTGGTTGTGGTGCTTGCACACGTCATTGTGGTGCCCCTGATGTTTACACTCTGTGACTGTGGTTCTGGGGTTCATTCCCTTTGTTAATTGTGAAATTCACACAATGCACACACTGCAGCCAGTGGGCTGCACAGACTTGGCTGCAGTGCGCTGGAGATTGGTGCCACAGTTCCAGGCAGCAGAGGCCCAGGGACCAGTCTTGGGGCATGTGGGCAGCACTCAGGATGAAAGTCATGGTATCATGCTTGTAAGACAGGAATTTTGCTGCTGAGCCACTCCCGGTGCCAACATCCCAATCTTTCAAACAGAATCATTCTAGGGTCCTGCTGAGAGGAGATGTAGGTGGTGCTTCCTGTTTAATCCTAAATTCCTTTATTTCTGTGGTTTCGTGTGCTCTCTCTGGGCCATATTGGTCCCATCCCTGTAATTCTGGGGATGGAGGGAGCAGATCAGAGATTTTTAGGATCCACCAGGACTCACAGACCCTAATCTAGAAGCTTACCAATGTGATTTTTTGTTTCACTGTAGAAAGTAAAGTAGCATATTGGGTAAATTACTAAATAAAAATTTAGGGAAGGTGAAGAAAAGTTATGCTTCATCATGCTATTTTGAAAGTAATTCTACTGAAATTTTGAAAAGGAAGCATGCTCTCTGGAGTGCAGCTTACTGTAAAGAAACCATGGCAACAAGTGAATTTTCCTTTCCTCACCAAGCAAATGCCTATTTCACAGCCTTCACAATCTACTATAATTCAGGGGCATTAGAGAGAGGAAATATTGGGGCACTTTGTGGGGACATAATATATTTCATACATTGTAAAATAAAGTAATCATTATTTGATTATTACACCATCTGCTGCTTGGGCTTCTGAACTCAAAAATCTAAGAAACTTGGCATGTGTCATTCATTTGGCAATTATATTGTCACCCTACTGTCACCAAGCAAGATGAATAAAGCAAGCTTCATTTTCTGGCTCTGATGTGCTCACACTTTATAGACTATAGAGATAAGTGTGGAAAATAACAACACTCTTTGTGTATAATATAGGGCAGTTCCTGACCTTTTCACCTCAGGAAAATATAAATACATCCTAGTACATGTGCATAATGGGTGTGGTAATCAAGCAGATTGCTTTCTAGGACCCAGTCAGTCTCATATTAGAACAGGTAGACCCTGTCTCACTCACACATCTCAGACTAAATGGAAAAAGAACTTAAGTGCTAGAATGAGTACAGAAGTTGAAAGCATCTTTTGGTGAAGGGTTTGGTACCTCAACTAAAATGAATCAGAAATTAATTATCAGCATGGAATGATACCCTCAAATACCTCAAAGGTATTGTTCCCTAGGGGATATTGAGTCATAGAGAATAAACCAGGTACAAGTCAGCATGGCTGAGTGTGAGATGGAAACCCAAAGTGAGTGTGGGTGATCAGGGCTCAGGAGCAGGTGCAGGACCCTCTGACCTCCCTTTGACCTGTTCCACCCGGACATTCTGTGGGCCTGAGAGCACATGTGTCCTTAGCTACTTCTTGATTAAAATGGAAAAAGAGTTATTTCCTGGGTGGCTGGACCCAACCTTAGAAATTAAGAAACAACCCAGGTGTGGTGCTGGGTTTCAAGCCAGAAGTCCTGAGTTCTAACACCATTCATTACTGGGTGGGTCCAGAGTTGGTAGAGTGTAAAGCTTATGCAAATTTGAGGTTTCTCTTTGGAAAAAAATAAAGTGAAATGACAAATACCAAATTGGGGACTGGCCCGGGGGTATGGTGCCCCAAGCAGGTCAATCTGTGTCTGTGAGGCGAGTGCATCAGCAGCCTGATGGCGCCTTCAGACTTCCAGATACCCCAAAATTGCTGCTGTGCCTTTGGCCAGACCCCAAAAACTTGGGGCAAAGTTTACCAAGAAAGTAAACGGTCAAAAGTTAGGTATGTGAAAAAAAAAGTTAGGTATGTGGGAGAAACACCCACAAATCACTTCCGGCTCAGCTATGTAATTTGAGGCAAGGCCTCTCTGGTTCCTGATCGAACTGCTTAATGGCCATGATTCTGGAGACTCAGAGACAAATCTTGGAACCCAGTGGCTTTTAGCAGAGATGTGTCCAGTCCCCGCAATGGGCTACCAACATCAGACCACCCAAAGGGTGAAAGGGTGTTGTCTCTCCATCTGCTCCCCCTTGGCGGCTCAGTAGCCGCCAATGTCCAGAGGCCATTGGACAGTCAGGTTTGGTCCCGCAGTAACAAGACACATGGGGCCTCATGAGATGGGGGTGGAGTCGGCCCTTTCCTCCCGGCCCCAATGAGACCCCGAGTCACCGCCCACGAACGACCTCTCTGGCTCCTGATCAAGCTGCTTAACGGACATAATCCCAAAGACTCAGAAATACATCTCAAAACCTAGTAGCTTTGGGCAGAAATGCATCCGGACCCCACAGTAGGCTACTGTCACCAGGCTACCCCAGGGGGGAAAGGATGTTGTCCCTCCACCTACTCCCCCTTGGCAGCTTGGTGGTCCCCATCCTCCAGAGGCCATTGGACAGTCAGGTTTGGGCCCACAGTGATGAGACACGTGGGGCGTCATGGGATGGGGGTGGAGCCAGCCCTTTCCTCCTCGCCCCAATGAGACCCTTAGTTGTCACCCATGAACAGCCTCTCTGGCTCCTGATCAAGCTGCTTAATGGCCATGATCCCAGAGATTCAGGAACAAATCTCGGAACCCAGCAGGTTTTGGCAGAAATCCCTCCAGATTTAATTGTTAAAATTTTGGAATTCCAAAATCATATGTTATTTATAAACAGCAATAGAAAACAAATTGTCTACTGTTTCCTTTTCAACAGATCTGAGTGTTGGGGTAAAATCCCAAATATTAATGGTGGGTCTGGTGTTGAAATATTGAATGTAATCAAAGTAGAGAGAGAGTAATGTGGAAATCATCTGCCCCACAGGCAGGGGGAGGGTGTGGGATAGGGAGTATACTGTGGGTTTTGGTGGTGGAAAATGGGCACTGGTGAAGGGACGGTTGTTTCATTGTATGACAGAGACTTAAATCTGAAAGATTTGTAACTGCTCTCACGGTAATTCAATAAATAAAATTATAAAAAAGGGAAAAAAACAAATTGGGGACTGGCTCAAAGATGGTATAATGCCCTATGTGACTCGTGCCTAGAGTTTGTTCAGCTGCTAGGGAAATCAGTCTTTCTGATTCTGAGCTGACTTTACCTTTTGTGCACCCAACTCTCCTTCCACTCTGAGGCATGGTTTCCTTGATGAAGAAAGGGCTGTGACACCCCTCCATGATGTCAAACTGGACAAAAAGTCTGGATATGAAAGGACTCTACATTCACATAGTCTCCTCTGCTTCCGGATATGCCGGGCCTATTTGTATGTCTTGATTTTTGAGCTTCTTCCATCCTCAGAACAAAGTATTTGCTCTGTCTAGAATGAATCCTCCCTCTCTTTTCTCCATTCTCCCCTCTTTCTTTCAAGTCCAAAGCCACCTCATGAAGGGGCAAGGGTCCATTATTTCCCCCTGTCCCCCTGGCCTTCTTGTCCTTCATCTCTGGATCTGCAGATTTTTTCCTTTGATTTGATTCTGTCACTTCTCATGTGGGGAAGACTAAAGACTGAGGCCCAGGGCTTGTCCCATAACAATGCATTAAGACAGGGTCACCAATGGACGTAAATAGTTTTCTGTGCCACCAATCAATTAGACATAGCCACATGCTGCCTTTGTAAAGTGACTTAGGAGAAGGAGAGCTGATTTACGGCA